TGTCTGGGGCATCTGTCCTTTCTTAGATGAGAGCGGATGGACACCCGACTTTTTTGCTTGCGATTATGCCAACCCTAAACCCTAAACCCTAGAACCCTAAACCCTAAACCCTAGAACCCTAAACCCTAAACCGTGCCGAGAGCCTGAACCCTAGAACCCTAAACCCACTTCGTGCCTTCAGAGGCGGAGGTTGTGGCCTTACTTCAGTCGGCCCATGGTGTGGGCTCCAGCATGGGAGACGGTGAGGCCTTCCACGACTGCCTCGAAGACTCTCGGGCTCAAAGGGGGGCCTTTTTCGATGCTTAGGGATTCAGAGGTTTGGTTTAGAGGCTTAGGGTTTAGAGGTTTAGGGCTTATGGCTTGGGGGTGAGAGGTTTAGAGTTTGGGGCTTTAGGGTTTGGAGTTTGGGATTTAGAGATATCAGGGTTTAGGACTTCGGATTCCAGAGCAGGGACGGAAGAAAGGTCCTGTCGGGTTTGAATCCTCTTGCGCGGGAAGGTTGCTTCAATGTGGCTGTGATTGCTTCTGACATGGGTGGTTGTCAAAATTATGGTTCCTTTTTGGGTCCTGATTATAATACGGCACCTAATATTTAGGGTACCCCGAAAGGGACCATAATTTTGACAACTACCCACATGTTTGTCTTCGGTGTTGGTAGGGCCTGCTAGAGCTGTCTCCTGGCGAGGGGCACATTTTCAGGCTCCTCCCTGCGTGCTCAGGCTATCGAGATGCTTTAGACTGTGCTTGCAGGGTTTGTTGTTGCGTCTGGGGATGGTCATTCGTGCTAGTTCACTGCCATCGATACCATCGATCGATACAGTAGCAGGGAGTTCGAAACAGCTGCAAGCTGTGAGGCCATCGCCGTATGAAATATCCAAGCCAAGGCTACGGTAGAGCTGTTGCCTTTGGGTTCGTTTTTGGCACTTAGACGAGCTACCGTGGGTCATATCGCTGTAACCCTGGCACTGCCAACACCGCCCGAAACCCTGAAACACTCAACCCTAAACCCTAAACTGCCCTAAACCCTAAACCCTAAACCCCATTGGATTCAGGGTTGAGCTTTCAGTTCCCTAGACATCCTCGGCGAGGACGATGCCCGGGTCGTGCGGGTGCAGTGGTACTCCCGGGCAGCACAGGCTGGGTTGTTGTTTAGCGATCTGCAGCAAGTGTGGTTCATTATTATTATGCTATCTGAAAGTGAATTCTCCAACATCGTTTCCTTGTTATTCAAACTTAAGCTAAAGTTTTATGGTTCCCGTTTTATCGTAACTTCAAGTAAGTTCCTGAACACGATCCCAGCAGGGATCGGGTGGGGCTTTGGCGACCCACTCCTTGGTTGTGGTCACGACTGCAGCCGGCCGGGGCTACGTAATCGAAAAGGCGGCCATGCCAGAGGAGTTGGTACAGGAGGACCGGGTCTTATGCCATTTACCTATAACCTCATCGAACTATATGGGTAGCTGTCAAAATTATGGTCCGTTTTGGGGTACCCTAAATAATAGGTGCCGTATTATAGTAAGGACCCAAAAAGGGACTATAATTTTGACAACCACCCATATTCAAGTTAACATAAAACAGGTCATACTACAATATAGTATTCTATATCTAATGGTCTCTTTAGACCTGGCTTGTCTAGGTTGGTCTTTGTGATATTTAACGACCTTCAAGAATAATAGGCTTTATCGGGACCCTACATACAGATAGATTTCTGGATATGGATATATAGATATTCCTAATGTTCTTGAAGGATTTCAATGGTTTTTAAAGGCGAAGCGCTTGCAGAGCTTCTTGTCGTCGAGGCTTCTTCTTGGCAGTGTCGGTCGTGGTTGCGGCTTTTCGGGGCGCGGTTGTAAAGGCGCTAGGCAGATACGCTTAGGTAGTCTTGGTTCCGGATTGCCACCTTTCATAAAGCAAGACGGTTCGCCATAAGAGATGAGTCGCACGACAGCTCAATGATCATTGCCCATGTCTTTCCTCGGATTAGACAAGTTGTCCGGCTAGGACAACACCTTGAATTACCCAAAGTTAAGTCGTTAACCGTGTATAAACCCACGAGACAAAAAGCCCAGGAGCAGTTTCAGAATGGCGTTGTCGTCTCCGACATCCGAGGTTTCGTGACTGCTTCTATAGTGTTTGAGGTTTCCTAAAGGGTCTAAGTACTTATATGGTAGATACTCTGGTGCCCAAAATACCTACTACATGGGTACTTAGACCCTTTGGGTTTTACAGTTCGCAGGACTCTAAACCCTAAACCCTAAACCCTAAACCCTTAACCCTAAAACCCTACACCCTAAACCCCTAAACCCTGAAGCCCTAAACCTCAAAAGTTTCGGGCTTGAGTCTTCGGGGCTTTAGCGCTCCAGGGCTTCAGGACTATTTTGGGTTATATTTAGAGGAGCCTCTGGGTCTTTAGTGCTCCAGGGTTTTGTTTAGGGTTTAGGGGTTTAGGGTTTAGGGTTTAGGGTTTAGTTTTTTGGATTCTGGGGCATGTTTAGAAGCCTGAGTAATTATCAACACGATTCTTCAGACCGCCTTTGGATGATGGCAACAGAACAGACCCCAAGACCCTATTCTAAAGAAACCAACGAGTCAGGCCCCTTTATTACAAGCATCTTGTTTAGAAGCCTCATGGAACCATTTTCGAATAAGTCTAATGCTGCACCTTTACACTGAGAGTCTTAAATGACGCCTGTGCAGGATCCTGTCTTAATGTTTAAGCTCCCTGTTTTCTGTCAAGCATGTCCGAAGTTTCACCTTGGCTCCTGGCACAGCAGACCCATGAGCTTTCCCACATTTCCGGGTTTTGGATTCATGGTTTTCGGTTTTGGGTTTTGGGTTGTCGGTTCAGGGGTTCGGGTTTAGGGTGTTCGGTTGAATAAGCACAAATCTCGCCATGAGCACCATTGTCAGGATCGCAGAAGCAGCGACTACCTTTTGAAGCCCGCGAACACATCTTTTGTGCATGTGTAAAATAGCCTATTGTGTTTGTGACATAGGCTGCTTGGGTACCTTCAGGACTTTCTTCACAGGAGCGCATGTTACAAATGCACAACCCTCCAACCCTAAACTAACCTAAACCCTAATACCCTAAACCCTAAACCCAAACACCCTAAACCCCCCACCCCGAATCCTAAACCCTAAACCCCAAATCCTAAGCCTTAAAACCCTACACCCTAATATCTGTATCCTCTCCTCCAAGCGGCACCGGTTCAAACCCCGATAAGTATGTCCATGAGCCGCGAGTCTTCCGAAGTAAGAACTATACTTTTTGAAGAGCCCTTGCCGGCAGCTCAAAACCAAAAGCTAGAGTACCTCGAACGCGAGCCGTGGTAACCCATATACAGTATACCTTCTAGTAACCTTACCCATAGGCCCTAAAGTAGCTCCTTTTTGGGGATCATATTTAGAATCCTATAAGGTAACCCCAAAAAGGAATTACTTTAGGGCCTATGGATACCTTCTAGTAACCTTATAGTAGCCCGTACACATCTCCGACTCCGAGACAGGCTTCCACCACTTTGGTACCCTGGTGAGTGGTTTGGAGGGCCCTGAGCTCCAAGAGACATTGACTCCGATTCAGCTATGGCAGGCGCGGAGAAGGGGATCGATAGCTTTGGGGAGTAAGGGGATACGGCTGATGGACAAAATCCAGCGTTGCCTGACGGACCTTGAGCCCTTAAGCCTTAAGCTATGGGAATTTTGTTTTTCTTTAACAGTTGTCATATCTCCGATCTATGTATCTCGTCACCAGGCGGCGGTGGACACGGGGTCATACTCCCTGGGCCGCGCGAATTGCCAGCATGCGGCGCAGGTGCTGTTGTTCTGTTTTGTTTTTCAAGTTTCAATCTTTATGTGGAATATGGGGCTGCGTAGAAGATGGCTAGAAAGAGTCTTGTAGTCTTGCAGCCGGTTGGCGCACCAAAAGAAGAGCAATAGGACCAATGAGCCTAAACCCTAAACCAGAGAAGAGCAATTGGACCAACGAGTGTAGTGAGCAGTGTGACTGAAGGCGTTGGGGTATTCGGGCTATGGTTTGAGGTCTAGGGTTTAGTCCGGGCAACAGGAGCAGTGCGACAAAATAAAAGTATCACTCGTCGGCTGCGATTTCGAAGCACCAGGTGTAAGAAGTTTTCGTGTTGCAGGTTTTCCTGGACCCTAGAAATCCTACATGTTTAAGGACTTATATCAGCAAATCATGCCAAGAAACCGTCAAAGGGCAGGTTCTTTAGGGTCCAGGTACGGTTTAGGGCTGTCTTTAGCCTGTACCCTGGCTTGAGGTAAGAGGTCTTGCTATTTCGATGCACCTCAGAATCCTAAACAGACCACGAGGGCTAAACCCTAAACCCTATCAAGCCTCAACTTTGAACGCGAAGCACTAAACATAAACCCTAATCTCTGAACCCAAAACCCTATAAGCCTTGAATCCTATACCCCTAAACCCTAAACCCTAAACCCTACGGCCCTGGGCATGGAGGCGATGTTCCGGGCGGCTCGGGCGACCACGCAGCCTGTACCGCCCAAGCCCAACGAGGCTTGGCTTGAAGAAGGGCTTATGAGGGATCCATAGGGTTTAGGGTTTAGGGTTGGGTTTAGGGTTTAGGGTTTAGGGTTAGGGATCTATAGGGTTCAGGGGCTCGTAACTGGATCTGAACAGTAAAAAGTTGTGAGTTCTGAATCGAGCACTAAGTAGAAGCTAGGTAGCCCATTGGAACACTTTGTGCTCCACCTTATTGGGTCTGCGAGGGTCGTGTTTATAAATTTGCAATAGCTTGAGGGCAAGACTTTAACCAGATCTTCCTGTCTCCCTGACTTATGGAATACATCTCAGCTCATACCAGGGATCCTATTATAGCGTAAGGTAACTTGCGTAAAATACGGGATGTTATAGCGGTCGGGATAGTTACCAACAGTACTACGTAGGGCTCCTTATTATAAAACTTGCAGAATATACCCACGAACCCTGTTCTAATTGCTAAATGCCCCTGTATTGTGTTCCAAGCGTTTTTGGGGCAAGATTTTGCTTGACTTGGGAACCCAGGAGATTGGCATCCGCTACCTGCGATGGGTGGTCGATGTGTCCGGTCCCTGCTACTTGGCTTTTGCGGAAACACGAACCATCAGGGTCCTGTCCTTTAACTTCTTAGTTAGCCAATGGGGAACGTTTCAACTGTTGCGCCTTGTATGTTCGGTCTGTCCCAGAAAGTTTCAGCTTTTTCCATTGAAGGAGAGACTACTCGCCCCCTAAACCCTAAAGCCTGCAAACCCTAAACCCTAAACCCGCTCGTGTTTCAGGAGTTTCTGAAGGACCGGGGAAAAAGGGAGAGCAGATGAGCTAGGGAGATCCCCCAGACATTCCAATATCCTTTAATTCAGGAACATACCGATCCCTAATCTGGCTAAAGGTATATTCAATATATACCTTAAATCGTAATAGGATCCCTAATATGACTTAAGGTATGTTCCTTAACCAAGGTGTATTGGAACGTCCGGGCTTTGTGTGTTCGAGTCTAGGGTTTTGTGCCATAGACTTCAAAAGCATGGGCTAAGTATAGGGAATTTGTGTGTTCGAGGAAGGTTTAGAGTTTGGGGCTGTAGGGTTTGAGGGTTCAGTTTTTTCCGCATAGGACTGCACAGCACAAGGGGATCACCCTAAACCCCGACTTCACAACGGAGCTCCTTCGTAAGGGATTCTTCTGCGAAATGAAGCTACTGATAGCCGGAACATGGGTCCAGCATGATTGATGCTTTGATTCCCATGCTTCCACCTTACACCATGTATCCTAAACCTCGGCTTTGGGATTTCGGGTTTAGTGCCCTGCACCCTGAAAACAAAAACTAGGGCTCGGGTTTCTAAACTTATGTAACTGCGGCAGACATTTTAATAACTAAGAATTATCTAGGACTTAGCCACAGTCTTCATCATGCAGAAACTCACACATAAAACGATCCCAGGTTGCGCCTACTTCCACCTTCCCTCCCAGTCGCTGGAGTCGAAGACCTGGGCTTTGCTCAGTTGGTTCGGAGCCATTTCTGCTCCCAAGGCATCGCAAAGCTAATGCTGTGGCCTGGATCTTCACAGAACGCTATTCCGTTCACTGCCTATACAGACATACAGTTATTTATGTATGTGTTTGTTTATTGTATTCTTTGTGTTTTTATATCAATTATAGCTATATGTTTTTTACACTATAGTATACACCGAAACCCTACTATGATGATTTAAGCGCCTATACTTGTGATATGGTTGGTATACACCCTGCTCTAAAAAATCTGGCCCCTATAGTCGGGAGCAACAGGGGACGCTACCTGCCTCTTTCAGCGTTGTACCCCTACATGATCCACTTCTTTGGGTACGTTTTGGGGCCAGAAGTACCGCGAAAGCCCAATAACCCTTAATTCAGTAACATACCTTAAATCATCCTAGGATCCCTGTTGCTAAGGTATTACTCCTTCACTAAGGAATATTGGAAGGTTTGCATAGGTTTGCAGAGGCCTAAATCCGCACCGAAAATACGAAATCGTGATGCCCCGGTATTGTCGTGTTAATCAGGGGCCATTACGAAGGAGTAGGTTCCGGCTTGTGGACCATGCCGAAGGCAGGTGTCTCACCAAGTTTGGGCCAGAAGCGCCCAATGTTGCAGAGCTCATAAAATTATAGAAAAGACCCGAAGACTCCTCAGCCCTAGACCCTGTGATATCCTGACGACTGCAGCTGGAGTCGTAATGAGCACCCTAAGGCGTTCGAATCCTGTACGACTTCGAAGTTCCAAAAGTCCGAGCATCGGATGCGACCTCGACCCCCAATTGTTGGCTTCTTCTTTCGGGCTTTGGGGTATGGGTTTGTTGAGATTACCCTGAACCCTAAACCTTAAGCCCATGGGCGCGTTTACGTTCTCTCCTCAAGAGACCTTCAAGCTGCAAGCTTTCCCCCGGAGAAAACAAGGAAACACACTAGCTCCGGAATACAATCGACAAGTAAGAGTAGTCTGAGGGTTCTATCAGGGTGCCACAAAGGTTTAGGGTATAGGATTTAGGGTTGAAGGTTTGCATGTGCCCATGTGGTTTGTTGTGGCCTGCAAATTGAAATGTAGGAACCTCTCCGAAATGCAAGTAGGTATGTATGCGTGTATGTTTGTATGCAGGTATGTGGGTACGGATGGAAAACATATATACATATGCGCATACACATACATATACATATGCGTCTACATACACATATACACGCACATGGGTACCCTTGCCGCAGATGCCGAGCTATCTGCACAGTAACCGCTGGCTACTGCCAATATGGTATGCATAGATGCCTGGGCTTCTTGGACTGCACATCCTGAAGCCTGAATTCCAGGAGGCCAACTCATGACAGGTCACACAGTGCCAACGGTAACCTCTATAGTAATCCGAAAGTAAGCGTTGATGGAACTCCATCGTAATCCGAAAGCAACTCTTAATGGAACGCTAGAGTAGTCCGAAAGTAACCCTTAATGGAACTCTATAGAAATCCGAATCAACCCTTCACGGAAAGCAATCCTGCATGGATATCTGTAGTAATTCAATTGGAATCCGAAAGCAACACTTACTGAAAAAACTCTTGATGGAGCTCTTTAGTAATCCGAAAGTATCTTTCTTAATGGGTCTCTATAGTAGTCCGAAAGTAACTCTGAATGGGGCTCTATAGTAATCCGACAGTATCTTTCTTAATGGGTCTCTATAGTAGTCCGACAGTAACCCCAACGCTAAACCCTAAACCCCAAACCCTTATCCGAAGGTATAACTCTAAGGGTCCATGTGCCCAAATAAATATACTTTGGCCTTAAACTAGTCCCTATATA